GGGGGAAAATGAGGACCTAATGCCGGGGGCTTAAGTGGAGAGGAAATGTTTTGAGAATGAGGGCAATGAATGTACAAATGCGCTTTACACAATTGATGTCTGTATGGATTGTGATAAGAGTTGTATGAGCCCCTAATAAAATATTAGAAAAAAAATTTTTAGTGCACATATCTAGTACATTTTATTGTATATATTTTGCTGTTGTTGCCTGGAACATTTCTTAGTGTTAATTAAATAGCACATGGAAAAATTTAGGGTTTCTTTTAGGAATAGTTTTTAATAATAAGGGGATATTTTAATATTTGTTTAAAAAAATAAAAAGAAGAAAAAGGAGTTATTTTAGATTGTAAATAAAAATTCTGGTTACATTATTATTTACTAAGGATCTTTATTTCAACATATCCATATACCAGTTACCAATTTATTTAGTTCCTGCCATCTGGACAAAAGGAATATTTTCTAAATACAGATTATGAACTTGCCCTTTAATGTTACTTACCGTCACTTTGAAACAGTTGAACCACTACTGAACACACATTATTCATCACAATCACCGTGATTTCTTCATGCGCAACTTTGAACTCACTGGAAAGACTTGAGCCTTTTCTTGGACTCAAGTTAAAATGAGAGTCATGTGCTCCTGTTGGGACTTAGCTGCAAATTCAATTTGAAAACACCCTTATGAAGTAATCTTGTCCATAACCTGCGGACTGCCTGTAATGGACTATCGTCAGTAGATTAAAACCCTATCTTTACCTTATCTTAATAGAGACTGAAAATCTGGGGTTTTCCACTTGATTTCTTACTTGTTTCACCATATCTTGAATAAGCTCTGGCTGATTTATTAAGCAAGCTCCATAACCTTCTGACATTGCCCACCTTTATAAAGAGAAAAAAAAAAAAAGAAATACAGGATTTGTAAACAGATGGAAGAGAAGACTAAAATCTCAATGGAAGCATTACAATGTAAGTGAATTTCTCTATTTCTCTACCCAGTGATCTGGAATAGAAGCAAGCTTTCAAAATGGATAGGTCCCACATTTTAAAGTAGATCAATATGAGATTAGGAAAATATGTTCCCAGATCAAAAAGGACTTGGGGAAGTGGTTTCCATTGGCAAATTAGAAAAGTGAAATCCAGCCAACCACAATAGATTTAAGTATTTGTAATTAATTGCAATTACTTCAGATTTTCTTACTTCCAAGTTTGAGGTTTATTTACACATAACAAGGTTTCAGTAGACTTGAGTAGAAAGATATTTTTTGCCTTACTGCTTATTAAATCTCCTAATAAGTAAACAAACATATCTAACCAGATTTGGATTATGTTGGGCTTCACATCTTGATTTTATTCTTTATAAACATTTAAAATTCTTGACAGATGATCTAGTAGTGCCCGGATGGCAGAGTCAGTTTTGTTAGATTAAGCACATACTGTCAACATCTGGTTACTTATAACCAGCCAAATAAATGTATAGAAATAAGAGGTTTATTTTAAGACATACATTTTTAAAAAGAAAATGAATTAGGAGAAAAGATGTGGTGATTTCCAAAATCAAGAGTTTGTAGGGCAGGATTCTCTGAAATGGCAGATTAAAAAGCAACAACAAAAACACATTCTAGGGATTATTACAAACGTAGACAGATTCTCACATAAATATTTATAAGTCTGGCTCAAGGCAGATCCATACATAAAAATTCCAGTGGGGGAGACAATACAGTTCAGGGGTCTATATACTGGCACATCCATTAGAAAATGCCTTTGTCATTCTGTTCCTAGTAATTTCTCTTTGCTGCTTATATGAAGCCCTGGTCTTCTAATTCCCTTTTTCTTCCTCTCTAAGTTTTGGAGAACTAGAACAATAATTCACCATGTTCACATAGACTATTTATTATTTATTTTTCAATTCTTCCAACTTCTTTGAGCTTTACCTCTGAGGGCAACCACAGTTAATGTCTATTCCATTCGCATAAGGACAGACTATGTGGGCGGCATCAGCTAACAGCCTTGCATCATTAGCAGCAAACTGAACAATCAACGGGCAATCACCTGATAGGATGAAAAGTCACAGAAGGAAAAAAAAAGAAACCAAACACATTTATACACATAAAAAAATGATACCAGACTCTAACATCTGAACAGGATAAAATCATCATAGTTATTTTTAGTCCAAGAAGCATCTGTTAAATAAGATGGCTTTGACATAAGCATTTAAAATTAATTAAAAGCAATTTATATTTAGAAAAGACATTAAACAGTACAAAATGTGATTAAAGTTTTCATGCTCTTGACACACAAATCCTCTTCTTAAAGGTGAGATTTTATTATCATATCCTTCTAGAACCATTTTATGCATATTCTTACAAAACGTAAACAAATGTGAACATCAAATACTATTAGGCCTACTGATTTATTTCCTGGTATATCTGGGAGAGGAATTTAGAGTTGTTTTATTCTCTTATTGTATTTCTTTTTTTTTAATTTAAAGTTTTAGTGGCATAGGTTTATTTCACATGTAATACAATCCAATAATTCAATCATATTAAAGTGCTATCACTTTCACAATTTTAGAATGTTTACTTCTTACATTTATTGTCATCAGCTCCCCACCTGCCCCTAACCTCCCTCCCATACTCCCCAAGAGACCATTGATGCAGTCACTGCCTCTATAGCTCCACCCATCCTGGAGTTCATAGACAGAGAAACATAGCAAACAAAATGCAGAAAAACAAACCACTGCACTCTGCATGATAGCAAGATAATTTACACCTCTTGTTTTATTCTTTTTAGTGGCCAATATTCCACTGTCTGTATAAAATTATACAGTATAGTTTTATAGTATGCATAGCATAAAATTCCATTTCTAGATTGTTTTTCTTTTTCAGCCTTTGAAAAAAAAGAAAAGCCAAAATGGGGATACTACTGCCTGCATGCTATTGTGATTATATTCATAGGGTAAATTCCCATATATATTAACTGTTGGATATAGACATTCAACAATTTGGTAATTATAGTCTTCTTTCAAGAGGTTACCAGTACAGACACACACCAATTTAGATGAAAGTTTTTGTTTCCTTACAACTTATGCTATAATATATATCCAACATGTATGTATTTTTATTTGTGATCTCTCTTTTTCTATTATTTGTAGGTTTTTATATAAATTAAAAAAATTAGTAGAGGGAAGGTGGGAGGAGAAGGGGGAGAAACGGGGAACTGACTACAACTATCGACATATAACCTCCCTCCCCGCCCCCCACCCCCCAAGAGACAAACAACAGAAACATGGGTGAAGGGAGACAGCAGACATGTATGATAAGAAAATAATAATTTATCAGGGGTCCACAAAGGTGGGGGAGGGAGGGAAAAAAGAGCAGCCGATACCAAGGGCTGAAGCAGAAAGAAAATGTTTTGAAAATGATTATGAAAGCATATGTACAAATGTGTTTGATGCAATTGATGTATGGATTGCTATAAGAGTTGTAATAGCCCCCAATAAAATGATTTATTAATAAAAAAATTAAGCCTGCTAATTGTTATCTGAGCAAATCATCAGAGAAGCTGGATTACATGAAGAATGTGGCATCAGGATTGGAGGAAGGCTTATTAACAACTTGGGCATGCAGGTGATCCCACCATGCTTGCTCAAAGTGAAGAGGACTTGAAGCACTTGGCGATGAAGCTCGAGGGTTATAGCTTTCAGGATGGATTACAAGTCAGTGTAAAGAAGACAAAATCCTAACAATTGGGCCAATGGGTAACATCATGATAAATGGAGAAAAGATTGAAGTCATGGAGTTCGTCTTGCTTGAACCAACAATCAATACTCATGGAAGCAGCAGTCATGAGATTATAGGATGCATTGCATTAGGTAAATCTGCTGCACAAGACTTCTTTAAAATGTTCATGGTGTGATCTGTTGAGCAGGGATCTGCAGTTGGAAGAACAGATCAAGGAAGAATGGGCATCAATCACAATACCTAAGGGTTAACAGAGCCCAACTAAATGAGAGATCAAACTGTAGGACAAAACGCATGGGTTGCAGCAAAAGGTGGAACTGCACTCTCCCAGACTCCTCATACAGGCATGTGGAGTGCTGGGTCATTGGGAATATTGATGATGATAATAGAGCAATCGACTTATACACCAGCAGGGTGATTGATAATGCTGTACTTCTTTGTTTAACATGGGTTTTTGCTTTCCTGCTTGTAGCTTGCCTCCCCACCTCCCCTTTCTCTCTTTTTTTCTTTTCGGGTGTACGTGTGTTCTGTTTGGTTTATGGCTGCTATTGATAGTTGGTTTTAAGGGTTGTGATTGTGTCATCTTATGACCGCCAAAGTAAACCTGAGACTGCAAACTCCACGGACAAGCTGATGGAGTATTGGCTCTTACTTAGCTCTAGCCCCAATTCAAGAACAATTAGGTCTGATAATATGGCCCTGCTCAGTACTCACCTTCATGAAATCATCACTGAAGATAAGGGTGCTACAGCAAAGTGTGGTGAAGAAAGTAGATGCTGCCCAGCTATTGACTGGAATAGTGTCTGGGGTCTTAAATAAAGGCTTGTATTCAAACAAGCAGCCATCTATCGAAGGGAGGAGTCAACTAAGTTCACATGGAAGAAGCAAACCAGCTTGTGTGATCCAAAGATGACAATTACAAAATCTGAATATGGCAAAGGGAAATGTATCAGAGCTAAAATTATGAACACCCAATTTGTAGAAGGCTATAGAGGACAGTGGGAGCCCAAAACCCATCTGCAGAGGATCTGGTCAGACTGAGCCACTGGCAGATCCGCCTTAGACACAGGCAAGAGTCTCGAACAGCTTTCATACCAGGCAGAGACCAATGCAATCTTGATTATGCTGGATCTAACTTGCTAGGTGGCCAGTTGTCCTCCCTATAGACCCAACCTGAATTTGCTCTGGGTGCAAGTATCTCTTATTTGTCCCATGACAGAAATTTCTTCCCTAGCGTTTTTATTTTAATAAATCATTTTATTGGGGCTTTCCTGGCTTTTTGAATGTTGATGGGGTCTTTTCTTTCTTACTCATTATTTGTATTTTTGTCTTGATATTATTATTGTATCCTTACCCCCTTATTTCTATTTTGTTTTTTATTGTTTCTGATGGTTTTCCCAGCTGTGAAGCACAGGAGGAATAGCTGCATAGTGATAATAACTGAATCAGAGTTAAAAGGGGATGCAGGGATAGGTGATAGGGAGGGAGAGGGAATTTCAGGAATAAAAATGAAGGCAGGAGGGGGAGGGAGCACTAGAACTGTTTGTGAGTGTACAACTCATTGTAATGACAATATAACCATGGGGGTTGGGGGGTACTCTAAAATCAATGTGGTGGTAATTGTACAATTCTCCTTGATAAGAACGATTGAACTATTACATTGTATTATATGTAAATTATGTGCCAATAAAACTTAAAAAACTGTTCATGGCATTTCCAATGGCCTGATGTGCATGTGAAGGGTGGACACTGAATAAGGAAGACCGAACAAGAATGGATGCATTTGAACTAATAGTGCCGTCAAAGAATATTGAAAGCACCGTGGCTGCCAAAAGAACAAACAGACCAGTCTTGGAAGATGCACAGCCAGAACGCATCTTAGAAGCAAGGGTGTTGAAACTTTGTCTTACATACTTTGGGCAAATTGTCAGGAGGAACTAGGTCCTGGAGAAGGACATCATGTTTGACAAAGTGGAGGGGCAGCCAAAAAGAGGAAGACCTCTAAGGAGATGGATCGCACAGTGGCAACAACAGTGGGCTCAAAGTCAACACACACCGAGAACGGCGCAGGCCCACTGCTCCCTTCTGCTGGGACAGAATGTGCACAGGCCCGATGGCACCCATCAAGCCTCGTCCAAGTGTTTCCCTTTTGTTGTTTTAAGTATTATGTTTGGTCTTTTGCTACATCTAAAAGTTTTACACTTTAGTATGATGAAATGAATCAGAGCTCTCCTAAGTTTTAAGAACATTTTTTTTCCCCCCTCACCGTTGGGTTAGATGTTATGAACTTTGGATAGACGTAGTCTAATGTTCCTTAAAGTATTTCTTATTTTTCTGTATAAGGTGCACTTGACTTTGGCTAAATATAGCTTTGGGGGTATTGCCCCTTGGATGCACTGATCAGGATACTCATGGGACTCCACTGAGCTCATTTATAGGATTCTGATAAAAGAATTTGCTATTTCTTCTTGAGGATGTAGTGTACACTCCCCTTTATAATCCAGGAGCGTTATAATATCTCAGTAATTGTTTATTAGTCTAATATATTTTTAGCACTGTGCTAGACACTGAGGATACACACTAATAAGAAATAATTCTAGCCCTCAAGGAGCCCAGTGAGAGAAGCCCTGATGGAGGGAATTGTAATATAGTCTGATTAAGTAATGCAGACATATTCTGAAGAGGGCAGGTAGGCGTGAAATGTGATCAGGAAATGTAGTTTGCCAGAGAAATAGGCATCTGGGGGATAGGCATGACTGGGCAGGGTAGTCTACACCTGGAAGTGAGAGGATGAGGCATGTTTAGGACTTACGATAATTAAGATTCTTTTTGGGGTGTTTTTTTTTGCTGTTGATTTTTATCCATAGAAACTCTATAGAATAGAACTACATCCTAGGGTTTCTAAGGCTGAAAATATATTTTTAAGTCATTTTATTGGGGGCTCGTACAACTCTTAACACAGTCCATACATACATCTGTTGTGTCAAGCACATTTGTACATTTGTTGTCTTCATGACTCTCAAAACATTTGCTTTCAACATGAGCCCCTGTTATCAGCTCATCTTTCCCTTCCCTTCCCCACCCTCGCACCTGACAATTTATAAATCATTATTTTTCCATGTCTTACCACTGACCGATGTCTCCCCTTACCCACTTTTCTGTTGACCATTCCCCAGGGAGGAGGTTATATGTAGATCCTTGTAATCAGTTCCCCCTTTTTACCCCACCTTTCCTCCACCCTCCCGGTATTGCCAGTCTCATCACTGGTCCTAAAGGTATCATCTGTCCTGGACTCCCCGCGTTTCCAGTTTCTATCTGTACCAGTGTACATCCTCCGGTCTAGCCGGATTTGTGAGGTAGAAAAGAAGACGGTGAGCAGGCTGCATGGAGACGCTGAGGGAGATAAGACTGTAGAATATGTACTCAGAGGTGCTAGATCATGACAGACTTTGTGCATTACCCACAGATATGGACAGATTCTGTAAGTCAGTGGTTTGTAATTAAAAAAAATCATTTTATTGGGGGTTCGTACAACTCTTATCACAATCCATGTATCCAACCATTGTGTCAAGCACATTTGTACATTTGCTACCAGCAGAAAGAAAATATTTTAAGACTGATGATGGTTTGTAATCTTTAGCATGCTCAGAACCACCTGGAAATTTGTTAAAACACAGATTTTTGGACCACATCCTAGATTTTCTGACTTAGCAGGTCTAGTGTGGGCTGCTAACCACAAGGTCAACAGTTTGAAACCCCCAGCTGCTCTGCAGGAGAAAGACAGGGCTTTGTACTCCCATCAAGAGTTACAGTCTTGGAAACCCACAGAGGCAGCTGCACTCTGCCCTAAAGAGTTGCTCTGAGTTGGAATAGACATGATAAGCTAATTTCTAGGTGGTTGTAAAGCTGCATGTCTGGGGACCACACTTTGAGACCCATTGTTACAGGCAATGAGAAATCCAAGAATTTAAAGGAAGGAAGGAGTATGATAACATTTTCATTTGTGAAAAGTCAGTATGGCCTGTAATCTATTCTAACAATCCATATAAAGCTGTATTCATAATGCACCCAGAAAAATCACCCCAGGCACACGATTCACTTAGAAAAGGACAGCGGCTGATCCTGTATATGGAGTAACAATTCTGTACTAAGACTTAGAAATAAAACCTCTGAATTGCATTATCTTCGAATACATTTGATAGTTAGGATTTTTTTTTTAATTTAAAAAATGTTTCACATACCTTGGTTTGTAGTAAATTCACTGTCCCTGGCTTTTACAGATCTGACAAAATCAGCAGCAACTATCATTGGGGTATAACACAGATCACAATTGTATTTTCTTACTAGGGTTCTAAAAGCCAACCTGTGAGCATATAAAACTTTAATTAGATATTAGAAAACACCATACTCATATATACTTCCAAGTTTAATTTCGTTAGCTATTAAATACTCATTAAGGGAGAGTTTGGCCTCTGGGAGAATTAAGTAGGTCAAGGTATCCCTCCTGTGATGTATCCTGTATACACATATGTGGACAACGACACACTTTTCTGGATGGCTAGCATAACAAGTGGGGTAATAGCAAATGTTGATAAAGGTTTGGACAAACGGAACCACTCAAACATTGTTGGAGGGAGTATAAAATGGTACACACACTGAAAAAGTTTGACAATTTCTTATAAAACTAAGCTAAACCTGCTTATAAAACTAGCCTTTCAAGTATGATGTGACCCACTAATTGTATTTCTGGACATTTATCCCACAGAATTGAAGACTTGGGTGCACACAAAAAGCATCCATGAATGTTTATTATCACTTTAATATCCCCTATATCTTTATTAGGAGCCCTGGTGGTATAGTGGTTAAGAGTTGGGCTGCAATCTGCATGGTTGGCAGTTCAAAATCACCAGTAGTTCCTCAGGAGAAAGACTGGTTTTCTACTTCTGTAAACAGTTAATCTTAGAAACCCAGAGAGGGTCACTATGAGTCAGCATTGACTCAATCACAGTGAGTTTTTTTTTATATCATTAAGGGAATGGTGGTGAAACAGTGGGCTAAGTGCCATGCTGCTAATGTCAAGGGCAGTGGTTCAAACCTACCAGCTGCTCCATGGGAGAAAGTTGAGGCTGTCTGCTCCTGTGAAGATTTACAGTCTCAGAAACACTTTGGAGCAGTTTCACTCTGTCCAAAAAAGGTCACCATGCGTCCGAATTGACCTCGTGGTAGTAGGTGAGTTATGACCTTAAAAGAACGTCCGGTGGCCCAGGGGAAAGCACTCAGCCGCTAACCAAAAATGGTTGGCTGGCAGTTTGAACTCACCCGCTGCTCCCTGGGAAAAGGAAAGGGTGGCAGTAGCTTTCCTAAATGCTTGGAAAGGTACTGGGTTAGTTCTACTCTGAACTATAGTCACTATGACTTGGAATCGACTTGCCAGCAGTGGGTTTTTGGTTTTATATATATTAAGGTGACCAGACGTCCCACTTTTGGCGGGACAGTCCTGATTTTTAACAATTTTTTCCGCGTCCCATGGCATTTTTTAAAAAGTCCTGATTTTTGGAAAGAATACACAAGCTAGGGTATACAGTTTTCGGCTGCCATGTGGCTATTTCGCCAGGATATGAGTTTTATCAATGGTGTCCCGCTACACCAGTGTTAAAATCTCCTCACCTTAATATATATCCTTGTAGGTGGGAGTTGTAAATACCATGGTTTTTACAAAAAGTGAAGCTTGCAAAGGTTAATTGTTGTCCAAAAACCAAACTCACTCCCATCAAGTCAATGCTGACTCACAGTGATCTTATAGGACAGGCTGGAACTGCCTCTGTGGGTTTCCAAGACCATAATTCTATGGGAGTAAAACGCCTTGGTCCTCTGTGATTAATTTACATGCGCGCACGCGCGCGTGCATGCGCACACACACTCCCCCCCTTAATAAAAATCCTTGTCATCTAGTCTGTTCTAGCAACCCTATAGAACAGAATAGCACTGCCCCTGTATGTTCCTGAGACTGTAACTGTTTATGGAAATGGGAAGTCTTATCTTTCTCCTTCCGAGTGGATGGTGTTTTTGAACTGCTGACCTTGCAATTAGTAGCACAAGGACCCAAGCTTATTCAGGATTCTAAAGGAAGGCATGTGAAGAGGCCAGCTGGTGGGGAGGTCTTGCAATACTTTTAAAAAGTCAACACACAAAAACGAATCAAATCTGAGCTCATTAACCATTTACAACACTTACTTTGAATATCGAACCATTGGGGCACAGACTTTTACCAGCTGTCCAGACTGCAACATTTCAATTGGATCTTTTTTTCTTTCTTGGCATGTTGTGGTTTTTAGGCAGTTGCTCTTCATGAATAGATTTGTATTAAATCTGAAAAGACAGTTTGTATAGAGACTTCATTGTGTTCATGTGGAACTTGTACATGGATCAAGAGGCAGTTGTGTGAACAGAACACGGAAAACTGCATGGTTTAAGATTAGGAAAGATGTGCATCATGGTTGTATCCTCCGACTCAATCTGTATGCTGAGCAAATAATCGGAGCTGTATTATATGAAGAATGCGACCTCAGGATTTTAGGAAGGCTTATTAGTAGCCTGCTATATACAGGTGACACAAACTTGCTTGCTGAAATCGTGGAGGACTTAAAGCACTTGCCGATGAAGACCAAGGATTGCAGTCTTCAGTCTGGATTGCAACACAATGCAAAAAAAATCCCAGTCTTCACAACTGGTAACATCATGATAAATGGAGAAAAGATTAAAGCTGTCAAGGATTTTGTCTTTCTTGGATCCACAATCAACGCTCAGGGAAGCAGCAGTCAAGAAATGAAATGACACATTGCACTTGTTAAATCTGCTCCACAATACTTTTTACAGTGTTGAAAAGCAAGGATGCTCCTTCGAAGGTGAAGGTGCGTCTGACCCAAGCCATGCTACTTTCAATAGCCTCCTTTGTGTGTGAAAATTGGACAATGAAAAAGGTAGACAAAAGAAAAACCAATGCATGTGAATTATGGTGTTGGCAAAGAATACTGAAAGTACCATGAATTGCCAAAAGGACACACAAATCTGCTTGGTAGAAGTACAGCCAGAATGTTCCTTCGAAGCAAGGATGGTGAAACTTTGTCTCACGTACTTTGGACATTTTGTCAGCAAAGACCAGTCCCCGGAGAAAGACATCACCCTTGGTAACATAGAAGGGCAGTGAAAAAGAGGAAGGGCTTTGAAAAGATGGGTTGATACAGTGGCTGCAACAATGGGATCGAACACAGGGACAATGATGAAGATGGTGCAGGACTGGGCAGTGTTCAGCTCTGCTGGACACAGAGTTGCTGAGTTGGAACTGGCTAGACAGGATCGAATAACAGCATAGAGAAAATGTATATTCACTGGATGAATTTATAGCATTCTGATGATTTTGATTGCCAAAAATACATTTTTCATGATGTCTGGGGGCTCCCAAAATTTAATTTTAACTTCTTTTACAGTATCAAATAGGATACTGACTAATTCTACCTTTATGGGCACTGACAGCTTTTAGAACATTAGGACACAACTTTTAAGCAGGTAGTGTTTCAAAGATATCCTGTAATGTTTATTGTTATCCTCAAATCTTATTCTTTGTATTTGTAAATCAAAAGGCAAAAACCAAACACCTTCATTTTCCCCCTGCCTTTAATTAATTTTTAAAAACCAAGTATGGAATTCCCTTGTGAAAATTCAAATTATGATGACAAAATTATATAGTAAGTCACTTTTTATACTCAAAAAGGCACTTGGTGAATTTAGGTAGTTTATAGTTGTCACACTCAGCATCTTATTATTATCAGTGTTACTGCATTCTGTACTTCAATATTTGACTTTAGTAACTTAGAAACAGATACAGACCAACTTTAGAAAGGTCTAACTGCTCCAAACACACGTCAAATTTTTGGGAAGTTAACCCAAAAAGCATTGATAAATAGACTTGATTTCGGGAGGCAGAGAGATAAAATGGCTTTACTTATCACTTATCCATCAATCTGAATTAATAAAAAAGTGGTTACTAGATCCCTTTTTCCTCCATATCAGTTTCTGATTAGAGAGACATAAACCACCTACCTAGCAGAGAAGTTGTTTCCTCTTCATGAGTCACACTTGTTCCTTCTCTCCTGCATTTCATATCCTGGTATGCTAACACCAGTCCCTCATGCTTGCCCATCTCCCCAGGCCTCCCCCAAGGAGCGCCTTCAGCTAATTATTGCACATCTTAATGGCTCCCAATTTTCCTGTCCTCAAAACCTCTTACCTTGATGACTCCAACAGTTGTCCCTGAAACCCAGACGGAGTTGGCCTTCCTCTTATTTGCCCACCACACCCTAGACCTGACTCTGCTATGGTATCGCCTGTATTTGCAATTATTTTCTAAAAATAGCGAGGATGATAACAACACGTCTGCCTCCCCCGGAGTCCCTGAGGGCATGAACACCTTTTATTCATTCATTCAGCAAATACCTAGTTCCTGCTCCATGCCAGAAATACAAATGAAAATACATCTTCTGTGCCCTCAAGAATTAGGGAGTTAGATATAGTTACACAAAACAGTGTAAGACCTATAATAGCTCTTGCTCTTTGCTTTCAAATGTGTTTCAACTCAAAGAGATGCTATATGACAAAGTAGAACTGCCCCAAAGGGTTTCCTACACTGCTCTTTATGGGAGCAGATCAGGTCTTTTCATACAGCGCCACTTGTGGGTTTGAACTGCGGGCCTCTTGTTTAGCTAGCACGCACTTTAACCATTATACCACTAAGGTTCCCTGTGACAGCACTAATGATTATGTGCATGTGTGGATATAAAATAAATAAAAAGGTGCTTTGTGGCAAATGAAGGAAGTCATCAACAGGGGAGGGAATAAGTTTGGACTGACACAACACTGGAGATGGGAATGTTCACGTACAGAGAACGATACATATAAAGCTATAGAGCAGTGGGTTGAATGACCCTTTCACAGTGGTCATCCGATTCATAACAGTAGCAAAAATACAGTTATAAAGTAGCAATGAAAATAATTTTATGGTTGGGGGGGTCACCACAACATGAGGGGTCACAGCATGAGGAAGGTGGAGAACCACTGCTATGGAAGGATGAGGCTGCTTCACGTTAGGGCAAACCATAAGTAGTTCAGTGTCATTGTAGCTGGATTAGAGAGGAAGGGAGAACTAGATAGTAATATAAAAAAAGTTGAGATTTTTAAGATTTTATTCTATAGGGCAGTGGCACTTAACCTTGTTTTCCTCTGGGGTGGTTTTTACATACACATGCAACATGCGAACATGGATGGGCATAGGACCTAATTTCACATACAATGTCTCTTTTTACATGTTTTTAGTCTCTCCTCGTACAA